CTCTGTGTGTGTGTGTGTGTGTTATTTGTGTTTACTTCACCTCCACAACAATGAGAGAAGTCAGGGCAGAGAACGGGTCAGGATGTTTGTCTCTGGAAGTCAGGTTAAAGATAAACAATCAGCCGCAGTAAATACACTGAGGGAGAGTGGAACTTTTGTAAAAAGTTTGTGGAACTTTTTTTTTTTTACATCTTGGTCAAATACAACCACAGTGATATAATGTTGTGTTACATCGTTAAGTATTTGTTCCATTACATCCAACGTCAACATCGTAGAGTAGCAGTTAGCCTCACCGCTAGAAGGTCCTAGCTAAAGGAGATAGTGCCCAAACTGTGGCCCAGTGATGGACAACATCATCGTCCAGATTTTTTGCATAAAAAAGTAACTAATCTGTGTCTACATAACCTGTTAGCTAAGTTTGCTGCTTGTCTAATGTCTGGCTCTGTTTATATTTGGAGCTGCATTTTAGTCTGCATGAAGCAGAAGTGACAACTTTAATGGTAGATTAGTTAGAATCAGTACCTTGGTACTTTTAGTTCCTCAGTTCATATTATTCCATATATTGACCATTTTTGGGGGGATTTAAACCTTTTTTTTTTTTGTATTCCACAGTCGCTTTTATAGATAATTAAACACTGAATATTCATTTTTAGACCAAATTTACTCTCATGACAAACGTTCTCCTGAGTTGGATCTATTTTCATCCTGTTTCAACTCTAGTATTTATACCTTTACTCTGATCTAACTTTACTGTAGTAACCGCTGAGAACTGAGAGACAGCGCTGCGCTGCTTTTCCATGGAAATAAAAACTCCTCTGGCCCCAAACTGAAAGTGACACTTTAGCACAGATCAGAGGGAGAACATATCAAAAACCCCACTGGGTTTTGGCACCACATGAATTTACTCAAATCTTATTATAACTGCAGGAGGATCAGACACCGCCACGCACCGCCTGTCGTCTGTGGTTACGGTGTGAGCGACTACAGTAGGAATACAGGCGTCAGAATGAAGTGTAACTAACCAGCTGTGTTAGCGCCACCTGGAAACACAGGTCGTCTTGTTGCGTCTTCTGTTTTTTATCAGCGGAGAATTGGTCGGAAATGTGTTTGTGTTGTGAACGAGTTCTTGTTTCTATTTTTAACATTTTTATTTATTGTGCTGCTCTTTGGTCAGTCGTGCTGTTCTATGAAAAACAGTGGTTACGGTACGGTACAGTACAGTATGGCGTGGAATAGATTAGTACGGTACGGTATGGTAAGAATTTCTTTTCTGCTTTGGTTCCAAATTTGACTTTTGTTCTGTTTTTAAAAAATGTTTCTTTTTAGAGAGAAAAAATCTTCACCTCTGATCCATGCGACCTTTGACCCCTATCAGCTCCAAACCTTCACCTCTGATTCATGCGACCTTTGACCCCTATCAGCTCCTCATCACAGTGCACTGACATATTATAATGAATTAATCAAACGTTCAGTTTCTGTTCATTATGGTTATATTTCTAGTAACGTTTGGGTCAAATTGTTTCTTGGGCAGGATCACAGGGATGGAATGGGTTTTTTGGGTTTTTTTTTTTTTTCTGCCACATTCAGACACCATCTTGACTTTCCATCACACCACCAGCCTTCTCCATCACACCCAGCTGATGTTTAACGGTTGATCTTTAAAGCCCTCGTCCAAATCATAAAACCACTGAACCTGTTCAGTCTTGGAGGCCTGAGGTAGTTTCAAACCTCTGTCTGTGTTATTTTAATTTATTTTATTTCACAGTGGTTTCCTAGAAAGGAACGTTTGATGTACCGGTCATAAAGATTCATTATTCGGTGGTATTTAAACGTTAAACTCTGAGAGATCCACGTGATTTAATTAGTGAGTTATTATTGTTTATTTAATGTTTGCCTTCAACACTGCGCCCGGTGGTGAGAGCTGATGTTTTCCCAGTCAGAGCAGCGAGCGTAGGTGTGAATCCTGTCTGTTCAGGAAAAAACAGAGAAACAGTTGTGACGCTTCCAGTGCCGTCAGGTCAGAGTGTCAGCGATGTGCTCACTTCACTGTGCATACAGACATAAACACAGGTACGACGCCCACCTGATCATACCCACTCATCACCCCCCCCCTCCAGGCACTCACCCGTCTGTACGTCCATCCATACGTTTGGCTTCTCTGTGCAGTACAGTCAGCAGTGGTTTGAGGTACTTCAAAAAAAAAAAAAAAACCCAACACACGGAGATCATGAGATGCACTCAAATCAGAGAAGAGCGCACTCACACACTCCCACACACACACCCACACGGCTGAACCCATCGTTTTTTCCGCTTTTACACAAACACACACACACACACTCTTCATCCAGCTGCCTCAGATGGATGAGGCTGTAGCAGCAGCAGGAAGAAAACCAAGCACAA